GGACATTTCTTTGATGCGTTCTTCTGCACTCCGGGTGTGTATCAAAGCGCAAGTAAAAGGCATTCAGAGCCCAGGCTGTTTAGAAGCTGTTACACTGCAGGCTCTTCCCTCACTTGGGCCACTTTCACTTGTTTCATTGCATAGGCTTCAATTAGAGATAGACGGATACCTTCTCAGCCGGTTTGCACAGAGCTTTCTTCTCATTCCAGCTGCTTTGAATATCTCCACCTTCCTTAAAAAAAAAAAAAAAAAAAAAAAGTTCATTTAAGGACCACTTTCCTTGTCCCTCCAACACCCCATTTTGTGCTTGCTACCTGCTACTGGTGACCTCTTTTGTAAATGATTTTGAACCTTTTATTCATGTTCAGTGCTCACGACTGGGCCTTTCTAAATGCATCCTTAGTTCTCAGTTTGGGAGTGCTAGAGAGTATTTCATTCAGTGGAGCAAGAGAATTGCTCAGCTCCTTTTGTAAAAGTTCTGGTGGCAACTCTTTCTGCTGACCTACTGCTCGAGACAACAGCACTTGTGTATAAGCGGCTGCTCTTCATCTCACGTCTCAGCTGTGAATACTACCCCTTGGAGTATTTGACTCGGTACTTATACCTGTGAAATTGAATTTAATGCGGTTTATTTCCGAGTGTTTCTCTAACTCGCCATATTCATTTTTGAATTGTGTTGTCCTGCGGCATAAATGAGTTGCCCAGCCGTCTGCCCAAACTTGGATCCAGTGTCAGAACTCTACCGTCAGAGCGACCCGTTGATGGATTAAATAGCACTGGGTCTGGGACCCGCCCCTGCGCAGCAGTTCAAAACGCTCCTCTCATAACACACGTAGGTAACGAGCATCTCCTCACCCTGACCCAGCAGTGATGGCATTTAAACAATATCTTCCTCCGTGTTCTGCTAACTTTGGGAGCCCCCGCCGCTACAGACTGTTAAATTCTAGAATTTCATATGAAAGGCACAGAAGCCATGCGTATGAACTCCTTTCTGAATTCCATGCAGTGGTAGATTTTGATCTACCAGAAAGAGTCCTTCAGAAGGTAAGCCTCACTGCCAGATAAATATTTTCAACCACAGCCCAGAGCTGAAAGCACTAATGAATTCTAATAGCAAGGCAGCACACAGCCCAGTGGGGTTGCCATTGACCAAGAGGCAGAAAACCAGAACAGGAGGGCCAGCGTGGCCTTTGGGGACCTGGCCTACAGCACGGGCCCAACAGTGAGTGCTTCAGGCTGCAAGCCAAGTGCAGAGTGTGACCAGTGGCATCACTGCCCCATTGAGCTGAAAGCGGGCGTCCTTGGCTAGACCGTCAGGGGCCTGTGAATCCCTGTCTCTCCCGCTGTTGGCACAGTTATCTACGTATGCATATTTTCCCACAAGCGAGATTCTCAGCTTTGATGCAATTTTAAAGGGATCCGTGAATCATGGAGGGTTAAGAAGCCTCTGTTTGTGAGATGGACAGTGATCCAAACTTCCGAAACTGATAAAATGGGTTGTTGGGAACTGATTTAACGGGATTTAGAGGAAAGAATGAAGATTGGTTGAAGACTCATTGTTTGCCACAGACTCCTGGAGAGGTCTTATCCTCACACTAACCCTGTGAGATAGCCAGCGGGGGGGCGGGGGGGGGGGTTGTTGGACCCCAGGTGTCGCTCTAAAGCTCCGTATGTCCTACCACACATCCTGCCTCTAAAAAATGAGAATATTGGGGTGGCTGGGTGGCTCAGTCGGTTAAACGTCTGACTTTGGCTCAGGTCATGATCTCACTGTTCGTGGGTTGGAGCTCAGCGTCAGGCTCTGTGCTGACAGCTCAGAGCCTGGAGCCTGTTTCAGATTCTGTGTCTCCCTCTCTCTCTGACCCTCCCCTGCTCATGCTGTCTCTCTCCCTCTCTCTCAAAAATAAATAAAACATTAAAAAAATTTTTTTAAATGAAAATGTAACCATTGAAAATTAATAAAAAATCATAATAAGCAAGATGTAACAATGGGGAAACTTAATATGATGTTTAACTGTAATTTTATATATTTATTTTTTATTTATTTATATTTTTATAAAATATTTTTTATTCATTATAGATTTATATATATTGATTTACCCATTGAATAAAATTGGGTATTTAGACCTGACTGGGGTCCCAAGAAGGTCAGATAGTCCAGGGTGCAATTTCAAGAAGGAGTGATCTTCTTCAATGAAAGCTTCTCAAGAAACAGAAAAAGATGTAAATGGAACAGTCATGAGACCCCACATCACTGCTGGGCTTCTCAGAGAGTGAGATCGCGTGTTTATGAACTGAAAGATTTAGTTGAAACTAATTTAATTTCCCTTGTGCATCTCTGTACTAATTAATGACAGTCATTTCACTTGTCCATATTATACTGCATTAGGTAAATTCTACCATTCTACACTCTACCTCTGTTTGGGTTCAAGTATAAATTATTTTCTTACACGCCTTAGCAGAGTTTAAGAAATATTGCCAACGTGTAACTGAATGCTTAACCAACCCCCTCAGTGCTACTTTCTTTACAACTGTAAATCCTGAAATCCATATTGGTGACTTTTATGAAAAGCATTATTTGAGAATTTTCAGTGACCGTTTAACAAAAATGCTCACCAGTTTTTGGAGTTTTCGGTGTTCCTTTTTTTTTTTTTTTTTTTTGCAAGTATATCTTACCTAAAAAAAAAAAAAATGCGATCATCTCTTTGTAGGACTCTGTTTGCGGAAGCTGAGCAGGATTAATTCCTGTCCTGGTGTTGCAGTGTAAACAGCTTTTTGCCTGTCTTTTGTCATTAATGATCATGCTGTAGATGTAGCCGGTGCATTGTAAGCCAATCTGTCAAGGCAAATAAACAATTCACCTTGTTAAAATTCCCTAAATCTTGCATTAATAAAACCAAACTAAGCCCCTGAACACTCAAGAGATGTCTTCCTCCATACTGTGGTGATGGATGACATGTCTAAAGATCCTGGAAATTAAGTAGTTCAGGTCATTAAAAGTGTCCCACACTTGTTATTGATTTAATTTATTTTAAAAGGTGGGGGTGGAGATAAGAGTGTTTACCCCCCCCATTTTATTTTTTTAATCTGAAAGCTACCACTTGTACACGTAATTAAAACTATTGCCTGGGTGAACAGCTCTGTATTTGTTACAACATCCAGCTTTATTATTCAGAGAGGTATTGTATCATCCTCTGAAACAGATGCCTAGAAACAAGGACATAATCACTGCAACTTGACGGCAAACCTTCCAGAGAGCTTCATATATATGATGATTCTTACAACCTTTGAGTTCCAGGCACTGAAATAATGACCTGAGAGGTACTCCCAAAATTTCCTCATCTAGATAAAAATCTAGATGAAGGTCAGTGGAAATAATAGCAAAAGCATGCCTCTGAAAAGAGGATTTTTTTTCAATTTTATGACTTTTTTTGTTTTCCTTTCTTTTTTCGCCTTTTTAAAATATTTATTTATTTTTCAGAGAGCAAGAGAGAGACAGAGCCTGAGCGGGGGAGGGGCAGAAAGAGAGAGGGAGACACAGAATCGGAAGCAGGCTCCAGGCTATGAGCTGTCAGTCAGCACAGAGCCCGACTTGGGGCTCGAACCCACAGACCATGAGATCATGACCTGGGCCAAAGTCGGATGTTTAACCGACTAAGTCACCCAGGGACCCCTGTTTTCCTACTTTCTATTTACTTTCCTTAAGCCTCAGTGGGTACAGCTGCTTCTATAAGGAGTAGGAAGAGACCAAGACAGAGCTGGCTTTCCACACGAGTCTCACGCAGGCTCTGAACAGCAGGAAGGTGAGCCACCAGCATAGTGTGGGGCTCAGCCTGTATTGTTCATTCCGTGTCTATGTCCTGAATTGGGCACCTCTCTGAAAACTGTGCTAGAAATGCAACCACTCGGTATATAAATCATGACTAAAAGCGACAGATCGTATTGAATTACCCATCACCCTGCGTAGCTTTTCCTGATCAACTGCGCGACTGATACTTGACCGTCACTTCTCACTGTCCTGTAAGCAACACATGCGTTTGGGGGCTTGGGGAGGAGAACCGTGATAAAATATGAAAGTGACCCTTGAAAAGAGTTCTATTACTTTCAGAGATTATTTTACAATCTTTGATGCCTTGTCCACGGTCTTTGAAAAACAAAAGAAAACAAAGGTTAGGGGCTGGGGAGAGGCAGATGTGCAGTCAGTTCACACACCGTGGTGCTCTTTTAAAAAAAAAAAAATAGGTCCCCATGAAAGTGCACTCTCTAGTCCTCCATTAGGTTTCTCCTTGCAATTGCATAATTCAGAGAGCTGAGAACTGACATGGGTCTGCCATTACACCACCTCTTTAGCAGAGTTCCCTGAATGGAAGAATGGTATAGACTTCTTTTTTCCTTTTTAGTATATAGGCTGATTTACACTTAGTGGTAAAGTTGTTACTGACCCTTTAAGTGGAGCTGTCCAAAGAACAATTAACGTCAGTTGATCCAGAAGCCCAAAGAGGCAAGAGCTGAGGGGTCTTGTCTCAGTCTTCCAGTTAACAAAGCCACTTGTAGTATTTCCTAAACAGTAGCGATCTCTTATAAACACATACACAAGGCCAGACCACTTTATCAGTCAGTAGGGAAAACTTGATGTACGTATCTTAGCGGTAGTATTGACACGTCCAGGTTTTTAAAATACCCTGATCAGAATCGCCATGAGGGCAAGAACTACCTCCGCCTGGTCGCCCACTGTTTTGAGCCCTTGTCAGCCTCTGACACGCAGTAGATGTTCCGTAAATGCCGGTTGGGTGAGAGAATAAATGCAGTGGACTGTGTGCTGACACTGACGAGCAGGCATGTCTCCTGAATTCTTGGTGGGTATAATGGGGACCACCCCCCATACAGAGTGTGAAGAATGATACTGCTAAGAACTTCGATGGCATGATCTTTGGAAGTAGCTCGTTTGATAGATGACCTCACACATTTTACTTTGTACGTTCTGTTTTCTGCTTTCATAGGCCGTCATTTTAGAAAATGAAGAGCTCCCCAAGCTGTTCCTTGATTTCCTTAATGTGCGACACTTGCCATCTCTACCGAAGGCAGAGAGTTGTGGGTAAGGATTGTTGTTCACCCATTGGGCATATATTTGAAACTACTCTGCAGTCACTTGTTGGCGTAACCAATGACCACAGTGGTACTGGAAGGGTCAGCCTGGCCACACCCGTTCTCTCTGCTGGGACAGCGCTCATGCGCCCCCTGCCTGTAATCAAAGGAATTCCTCGTCAGCCCTCGTCCCTGTATTGTGGCCAAATGGCCAAGGCTCAGCAACTAGGCTTTAGACTCAAGGAATTGACTTTTTAAATTCTGCTCCATGGAGTGATGTTTCATGACGGGCGTTAGGAACCTAGATGGCCTGTGAGAGACTCGTATATTAATTTGTGGACACTTGAGCTAAGTCCATATCCCCGTACACATACATTCATAGAATCATAAAGCTGAGAAGGACCTTCGAGATGATTTTACCCAACTGACTTACTGTAGAGTGGAGTAAACGGAGACACAGAAATTAAGCCTCTTTCCCCAGATCTCTCACCTTGTAGCTGGCAGAGCCCAGGCCTCCCTGCATGAGCTCTCTCTGCTGCCCTGCTGCCTCCCCCACAGAACTTTCTACTGAGGGGCTGCGGACCCTAGTCCTTGTCTTGCAAGGAACCAAACATTTGATGCCCTCAGCATTTGGGAAGTGTTCCTCTGAAGAATGGACTCTGAGATAAGCCCCTCACCCAGCTCCGGGCACCTGACTTGTGTGCAGCTCACTGCTGAAGGCAGTTAGCAACACCGCTGACCTGGTCAATCCATTTGTGGAGAAACACATCATCACAAACTCTCTGCAAGCCCCAGCAGAGGAAAGGGTTGTAATCGCAGGAACAAGACCCCAGCTGACCGCACCCAAAGTCGTGTTCAGCGCCAGCCGTCTGCTGGATGAGAGGCTGCAGGCACGAGCCCCCCCACCGGCAGGGTTTGCTCAGGGCCACTTTCCGCTCAGCCCAGAGCGAGAATTACACCCTCTGTTCCCCAAATAACAGGCGTCGTCAGCGTGTCCTGTTCTGACATGCGTGCTTTTGCTACGAGGTTGTACGAGGTTGGGCTTTACAGAGGGATGTTTTTAAGAAGAAATCTGGGGAATGACAGAGTGAAATCTTTTCTCTATTATATAAGCCTGAAAGTAAAACCATAAGGTTTCCAAGTGATGGTCAGGAAAATTGAAAGTCAAGAATATCTTGTTCTTAAGAGCTCTTAGAAGGAGGCCTCAGTCATGCTGTGACTGTGTGAAAACACCTCTCTTTTCAAAATTTTAGAGCTCTAAGAATACTGGCTATTTTTACTTTGGTTGGCATAAACATTCACCCAACTTTTTCCTCTTCTTTTAAAAAATTTTAGATCGTTTGATGAGACAGAATCTGAAGAATCCAGGTAAGAACTAATACTTGTTGGTCAAGACTTAACATAAAACCAGGAATAGGACTGTGGTTTTGCGAAATGTCCCATGACCGTGGTGAAGGATGTCAAGCCACGATCTTCTTGAAAACATTTGGTAGCACCTTGATTTTCAGATTATAAACGTGATAGGAAGTTAGAGAAGTAACCAGTTATATCCAGGAGGGAAGGTACCAGAGCCCTACATTGTTTCAGGCAAGTCATAAGAATACCGTTTTATCAATAATTGTGCTACGAGATTCAAAAGACACCAGCAACGCCTTTCAGCAGTGATTTATCGTACCGATGGTAGATCTGCTTCACATTCCACAAAGAATTGTTTCGAAGGTGAGGGCCCGGCTTGCATGTTCCCTGGAACTCCCCTCGCCGTCCTTCACCCACACAGTTAGATCCAGAAACCTTGAGATGGCCCCACACAGCAGTTTGATCCCCTCAAAGCTAGTTTGTAGTGTTTTCTGTTTACCGTCGTCCCCTGATGCTGACATGCCTGTTCTTGACCTTTCCAGCAAACTGTCCCACCAGCCGGTGCTGCTCTTCCTCAGGGACCCATTCGTCTTGCCTGCAGCCAGCGGTAATCAAAGCTGTCATCTGCTAACAGCTCTTTACTGATCTGACCCTGCACCACATAAACCACGTTTTTAATACAGGTCTAACAGAGTGACATTGGTCCAGGGCTTAATAATCTGCCAATAAGCCTGGGCTCTTGGTGTAAGAGACATTCAGAATTTTAATTGGGGCAGGGCTTTCGGCAAGAAATGTAATTTTTCTTTCTGCTTTACTGGGTGATTTTGAATTAGACTAATAAGAAGGAAAGGTCTTGATCATCTTTTCATTTCCTTCCTTCCTTCCTTCCTTCCTTCCTTCCTTCCTTCCTTCCTTTCTTCTTTCTTTCTTTTCTTTGTCTTTTTGATGATGTTATTTTGGTCTCTGCCTGTTTTTATCCAGATGCTGAAGCTTGATTCCAAGAGTCTGTTTCTTTTTTATTTAAATCCTTTTCCCCCAAAAGCTGTGCCGTTATATTACATGTGTATCTCTACTGCCATTTAGGTTACAGCATCTTAGATGATGGAATGTATATTTTCAAAAGATGTATGCTTCAGTATAATGAATTAATTTAAGCATAGATATAAGCAGTATTTTATCTTGGGTCCTTTCTTCGTGCCAAGAAATTTAAATTACTCTGAGTCCCTCTCAAAATGTTCCCTTGTCCAGCCCTTTGTGAGTACATTCTCAGACATTATCCCATTTAAGTTTTTTTTTTTTTAAAGCCTTAAGAACTAGGCAGGGCATGGGGTGCCTGGGTGGCTCAGTTGGTGAAGCGTCCGACTTCAGCTCAGGTCATGACCTCAAGGTTCATGGGTTTGAGCCCCACGTCGGGCTTTGTGCTGACAGCTCAGGGCCTGGAGCCTGCTTCGGATTCTGTCTCCCTCTCTCTCTGCCCCTCCCCCACTCATACTCTGTCTCTCTCTGTCTCAAAAATAAATAACCTATAAAAAAATTTTTTTTTGAAGAACTAGGCATGGCAGGAGTCATCACTGGCTAATGAGAGAATCGGGGCTCAAGGAGGTCCTTGACTTGCCCAGTCTCCACGGCTGATGGGCCGACCCCTGGTGCCTGATTCCTCCTTGTGTGCTCATTGCATAGAGTGAATTTCCAGCCGTTGTTTCTGAGAGTAACTAAATAGCAGTAACTAGCAGTAGATAAATTATCTGTTGAAACCATTCGTCCATCCTGGCAATAAAACCTTCTCACCAGCAACAGAGAGAGGACCATGCCGTAGCCACAGTCCATGCCCTGAGATCACAGACTTGGCTGTCAGTTTAAAGAAGGCTGGCGGGACACAGCCCGGCTCTGTCGGGGGACCATTCTTAGCACCCTGATCAAAGGGTTTTGCTATATAAGAGAATGGTCTCGTAGTATTTTTCCTATAAAATCCTTTTCAGTGAGGAATAATTAATTGCCTTTCCTTAGCATTTGCTTCCCGTGTTTAAAAAATACACGTTCTGGGCTCCTGGGTGGCTCAGTCGGTTAAGCGTCTGACTTGGGCTCAGGTCATGATCTCACAGTTGATAAGTTTGAGCCCCGTTTCACGCTCTGTGCTGACAGCTCAGAGCCTTGAGCCTGCTTCAGATTCTGTGTCTCCTTCTCTCTCTGCCCCTCCCTTGCTCACACTGTCTCTCTCTCTCTCTCTCTCTCAAAAATAAATAAACATTACAATTTTTTGGAAAAAGAAAAAAAGAAAACCCTATTCCATTCACTTTGATGAGAGCCCTGCCCATTTGTTTCCTTATAGTAGCGATCACAGAGTATCCCTTCTTTCTGTGTGTCGCGTTCACCTGCTGAATCTCCCTCATCTAGCGCATGCTCATCACTCACAATAAATACGGCACCTTGACCTCTGCTGTTCCCTGTGCTGGGAACACCCCTCGCCCAGACGAGGTGTGCACCCAGGTTCCTGTGAGGACAGCTGTGGGGACAGCTGGCCTCTGCACCCTCGTTCACACGGCACCTGCACACAGAGGTCTCACCTCATCTTCCTGTCCAGTCCCCCTCAAGCCCCGGGCCCTGTTTCATTTTCCCCCTTTGCCTTTAAACCACTGCTGGACCTGCTCAGGTGTGCATAATTACTCCAAGTAAGTCCTGGTATTTTCCTGTTTCTCTTTTTTGCTGAACTTACTTAAATCCACTTAAACTAAGCATGCTGATGACATAATTGCACCAACCTTCAAAACCACTTCTGTATTTTGGGTGGCAAAGGATAAATGCCTATATGCTACTAATACATATTCTTATGTCCTGTTTGGGCATCTAACTGAAAATTGATTATTATAAGGGTGTCTGCGTGGCTCATTCCGTTAAGCACCCAACTGATCATGATCTCACAGATTGTGGGTTTGAGCCCCACATCAGGCTCTGTGCTGACAGCTCAGAGCCTGGAGCCTGCTTCAGATTCTGCATCTCCCTCTCTCTCTGCTTAAGAATTATTTTTAATTTAAAAAAAAAGAAAATTGATCAATATTTCCGTTTATTGCTCTTGGTTTCACTATATTTCTGTGGAGGAGAAAGACTTTTAGAATTAAAATGAACTTAGCAAAACCACGGCTTCTGATTGAGATCAAAATACATAGGATAAATTCTGTTGTCAATTATGAAAGATACGTTTTATGAAATATAATGTTACCATGTTGGATAAAAGCAAGCAGTAAGAAATCAAGTGTCATGGCCCAAAAGTGATTGAAGCTCATGTATGGAGATATTTTTTTTAAGTTTATGTATTTATTTTAAGAGAAAGAGAGCTCAAGCAGGGGAGGAGCAGAGAGAGAGGAAGAGAGAGAGAGAATCCCAAGCAGGCTGTGTGCTCTGAGCACAGAGTCAGACACGAGGCTCGATCTCACAAACCATGAGATCATGACCTGCGTGGAGATCAAGAGTCGGATGCTTAACTGAGTGAGCCACCCAGGAGCCCTTGGAGACATTTTTAAAACCTGTTTTGTTTATGTATTCATTTGCTTGTCTCCCTGACTAGTCTAGAGGTTCCGTGGTGTGGGCAGGGACTGCTCTTTACTTATATGCCCAGGAATTAGACAGTACTTGGTACGTGATGGTAGCCGGTACTTACCAGGTCAGGTTTAAGTGATTTGTTTTGGCCACCAGTTTCTACCACAGCCCATCAGGTAGGTACTATTATCAAGTCCCTCCCTAGCCACGTGGAAACCCTCACCTCTTTGAACGTGTTCGGTCTACTCTGAAGGACAGAACACAATTCGCTTCCTTCTCACTCTGCTGAAAATCCTTCAGCAACCTCACAGTGCTTTTCAGATAAAGCCCCAGGTCCTAGGCTTGAATTGGCCTTCCTACGCTCAGGCCTCTTCCCTCATTCCCTTTTCTTTTTCGTTTTCATTTTTGTTTTTTGTTTATTTGTTTGTTTAAGGCTTATTTTTGAGAGAGAGAGAGAGAGAGAGAGGCAGCGTGAGGGAGGGAGGGGGACAGAGGATCCGAAGCAGGCTCCGTGCTGACAGCAGTGGGCACACTGAGGGGCTCAGATCCACAAAGCGGGAGATTGTGACCTGAGCTGAAATCAAGAGTCAGACCCTTAACCCACTGAGTCACCCAGGCGCCCCTCGTTCCCTTCTCCACCCTGGCCTCCATTTCGGTCTTCCCTCCTGCCCCAGACGTGCCCCCTGGCTAGCTCCTCTGCCTCGTCCGCTCCTCCGAGAGCCTTTCTGCCCTCCCTTGTGAGTGGTTTCACAGAGCAGGAGCTCTATAGAGCTTGGGTTACTCCGTGAACATACTCGTTTTTGTCTTTAAGTATTGGACCGACTAATTTCCTCACATAGTAACTATATTATTTTAAGTGGTTGGCTTTAGCATAAATTCTGGGTATCATCAGGTGCAGCTTGAAGTTTGGAAACTGAACCCCTGAGCCGTGTGATGGATAGCTCCCCCACCCCCACCCCGTGCAGCTTACCCATTCGTATTTCACCCGCTCTGATCACGGGAACGTGGCACCATGTCCCCAAACCCCTGGGCGTCCTTTGTGTCTGCTCTACAAACGTGGCTGGTTTTTCAAGTGTGACGAGATGGTTCTCGTCGGAAATTTGCCCTCTTAAGTTAGGAAGACGGCCCCCGGATGTTACTGCTCTCTGGAAGCTCGGTCACAGCCCCATCATCCTCCAGACAGCTTGGCCTAAACGCTCCCGTAAACCACAATGGAAAAACTGCAGCAGGGTATTCCCTGTAGAAATCTTGGAATTCCTTCAAGTATATTGAGATTTTGTTAGAAATTGAATTGCCAGTGTAATCCATCTTCCTTGTGAGAAAACATTCAGATAGAGAGCTGGGGCCTAGCAGCATTAACCATTAGAACATCCCTTAAATCAATGAGCTACAAATCTGGCCGTGCATTCCTGCAGCGTCTGGTCCTGCACTGAAGTGGCTCTAGGCCAACGCAACGTGACAGATAACGCATCCTAAACAAGGGGATGCGGACTGAAGTTACTCTGGGCCTCAGCTCGCTAAATTCTAGCAAAGGCAATTGTCTTTCACTGCCAGTGCCTAAGAAAAGCCGGGTTGCTTTTGTTTTTCAGATTTTCCAAATGTGGTTATTGAAGGCGTTCTCCACGGGATATTTTACCCTCATCTGCAGCCCAGGTAGAGCTCCTACATGGCCACAAGGAGCTGAAGCAGGTTTCACAGAAATCGATACCTACCAAATTAACCTAAACTCTATGGCATAACAGCTCTAGCTAGTGGTGAAATTCACAGTCCCAGCTTAATTCGGGGCAGGGACGTTTCCATTAGAATGGTGCTTTTAAAAATAGAAACTGAACCCCCCTCCCCCACTCCGGGCGGTGCTGAGGTTGAGGCCGAGCGTTTGAGAAGGAGACAGTAGCTGCCAATTTCGAAGCTGGTGAGAAGGTTGTAGAATATCCCTGTGAGCACGGAGCGTAGCAAACTGAAGTCACCCTCTGCATTAAGCTGCACCGTTTGCTGATTGAACATCTTATCCTGAAACATACGGAGACTGAACTACTTTGGTAACTTTTTGTTATTCAGATTTTATGACACGCGCTCATCTTTTCATCTCGAGGTTTCCTCAGTCAGCGATAGATCCATCCTGAAGTGCCGGCACCAGGAAAGTATCACAGAAAGGCACTGTGCTGAATGTGAGGACGGAACTAAACTGGAAATTATATTTCGCTGTGCATGTTAGGGCATTTTTAAAAGGTCATGTCATTTCTATTTACACTGCAGTAGGGTTGAGCCTTGCCTAGGGATTAGCTTCTAGTGTCAGTACCTAAAATAAAATGGAGCATCCAGATTATCCTCAACTGCCCTTCAAGAAGACGCCATCTTGAAAATCTGTACATCCAGTGCATCCAGGTTTTCTGCCAATGTTGGGAGAAATGACCGTTTCTTCCGCTGAAGACCTGTGGGGGTTGTTGGTGTTTGCTTAGGACAGTTTTGTATAAAACCTCGTACCTTTTCACGCGAGAATCATACTTAGTCGTGCAAGATGCTTGCTTCCCGAGAGGCAGGTGTGAACTGACTCACCTTAGGAGACAGAGTGATAAGCCCCATTTTGATTCCTTCATGGTTCTTCAGCACTCTTCAAGGTTTACTCGTTCATTAAATAAGTGGAACTGCCACCAGATTGTTATTTTCTGTATCGTTTCCTTTTCACTGACTTCCTGTATGGAATTTATGTAAGTTAAATGTATGTATGATCTCACTCCACTCAAGATCTCACACACATTCATATTTGGAGGAGTATGAGGAGAAAAACACACATGCAAATGTAATGTATGTGCTGTATTCGGGCATTTCATTGAAAACTAATTAATAGCTGGCCTATTTATGGTTATTAATTTTACTAAGCTGCTCTGTGGGAGACAAATATTTGGACTCAAGAGGAATAACTGAATCATGGTATCTGGTTAAGATCTACATATATATATATAGGTTTCAAGCCTGCTGCAAACTTTTAGGGATACATTTTTGATACCTATGTGACTTCATGCTGGAAACAGGCAAGGACTAAATAATCAAGTGTCATGAACCAAAAATAACTGAATGCTCACATGTTGGAGATATTTTTTAAATGTTTTGTTGTTAGCTATTTTGAGTTAAATAAAAACAAAGAACAAGAAATATTTTGATTTGTCTTCTCCTCGGATCTAATTGAAGCAACTGCGTCTCATCTCTTTATACACACACACAACTTCCCACATACTCACATTTGTCTCTCATCTAGGTGTTAAATTACTGCATCTCTGAAGCCACTAGGTACCCATTAAATAATTGATGATTTACCAAGATAATAAGAATTTTTTTAAATATAAAAACCAAACACTGCTAATGGCACACACCTCAAGAAACCTTTTCTGAGGTTTTTTGTTTGTTTTTAGTGACGAATTTTATTTTTTATTTAATTTTTAATGTGTAATTGCATGTTTCATTTCAATTCCATTACAGGAAATAGAAAACCCCAGTAGGTATTTAAAGCAGGATGGAACAGTAAGAAACTTGATGCTCATAAATCCTTTGGAAGGATGAGGAGAGTGAACTCCTAGTGGATAATCCAGGATTGGCTTCCAGAATCCTCCAGCAGCCTCTAATACCCGCCTGCCCAGGACCCACACCCTTTGCCTTAAGCAGGAAGTCAGGGAGTCAGGAGGCTGCTCCTGGAGCTGTTGAGTTTATAAAAACCTCCCCTGTAACTGTGATCGGGGTATCAGCAAGCAAGATCAGGAGGTAACTGTTACCACTATACCTGCCTAATAGCAGGAGTCTGGGGACCAGGCCCTGGCATAGAGTGTCCACCTTCCACCGCCTGCACTACAGTCCCCTCTCAATGCCCACAGCTACGCCCCTATCATCTACTCAATCTGCTGCAAGCACATCTAGTTGGTACAACCTTATTATTGATCCCCATCTTCAAGGGAGTCTGGAAAGGGTTGGAGCGTCGTGGTCACTGCAGTGCAGGGATGGACATTGGCAAGATGCTAGAATATATTTCCTTGGTTGAAACTAATAACAGCGTACAAAAGGATATATAAGAAAAGAAAGATCCTCACCTTATCTCTTTTGTCCCCTGTCCCACCCCCCAAGCGGCCACTGTGCTTCGTTTCTGTGTGTACTTCCGGAGATTTCAGTAACGTACATGCGACATCATGCATGTTTAGTGTACATAGTCCATTTCCCCCTTTTTTACAAAACACGGATTTTTGAAGACATGGATTCATAGACAATAGAGCAGTGAAGGGAAGAAAAAGGAAGAGGAACCGCGTTAACCTTTAAAGCAGGATATGGGGACACCTGTCATCTGCTGTGCTCCTAGTCCATGAATTTGGTGGCGTGTCTGGGCTTGGTCTCACACTGTCGCCCAGTGCTTCGCACACAGCCCCTCGGGCCGCACCTCCATCACTGGCCATTTCTGGACCAACACCCCTTCTGCCCTCTTTGCCCTGCCCCACTCATTCCAACAGCTGGCCATCTCTACAACCCGAATATGCTGACCATCCCTACCTGCTAAATCCTCAGTTACTTCCCTTTGAAAAGCGTACAGATCAAATCCACTTGGTGTCAAACATAAAAACGTCAATACAAAACAACAAATGTGAGTTGCCAACCATTTTGAACAATTTTTTAGTTTAAAATTCTAGCCTCCACAACAATAAAAATGTCTTTTTATTTAAAAAAAAAAGTGTAGCAATCTCATGATCACAGTTGAAGAATAACCAATGGCTTTCATCTCATCTGTCACCTTTGATCAAATGATAATGGCTACTTAATAAGGATTCTGGCCCACCCTTTAGAGTGGCTACTATTAAAAAAAAAAAAAAAGGCAACCAATAAGTGTTGGCAAGGATGTGGAGACCCTGAAACCCTTACATATTGCTGGCGAGCATATAAAATGGCACAGCCTCAGTGGCGAATGGGTTGGTGGTTCTTCAGAAAATGACACAAAATAACCATGTGACCTGACCATTCCATTCTGGGAGTGAAAGCAGGGACTTGATCAGATTGTTTAAATACCCAAGTTCCTGGCAAAAGGTGGAAGAAATGCCAAAAGGTAGAAGCAACCCTGGTGTCCATCAGTGGATGAATGGACAAACAAAATGTGGTAGGTGTGTGCCATGGAATATCATTCAGTCTTAACAAGGGAAGGAAATTCTGACATGTGTTACAATGTGGCTGAACCTTGACATGCTAAGTGAAAACGGTCACAAAGGATGACTACAGTGTGATTCTACCTACATGAGGCATCTGGAATAGTCCTGCTCATAGAAACAGAAGGCAGAATGGTGGCTGTTAGTCGCTGGGTGAAGGCAGAAATGGGGAATTAATGTTCATGGGATTTCAGTTGGGGAAGAGGAGAAAGTTCTGGAGATGACTGCCCAACAGTGTGAACGTACTTGACGCCACTGAACTGTACACTTTAAAATGGTTAAAATGGGGGCACCTGGGTGGCTTAGTCAGTTAAGCGTCCGACTTTCGCTTAGGTCATGATCTCGCGGTTTGTGGGTTCGAGCCCCGCGTCGGGCTCTGTGCTGACTGCCAGCTCAGAACCTGGAGCCTGTTTCAGAGTCTGTGACTCCCTCTCTCTCTGGCCCTCCCCTGCTCACGCTGTCTCTCTCTCTCTCTCCCTCTCTCTCTCTCAGAAATAAATAAAACATTAAAAAATAAAAATAAAAATAAAATGGTTAAAATGGTAAGTGTTATGCATATTTTACCAAAAAATTTTTAAGTTGTTTTTAAAAGATTTTGAGTAAGGATGTAATAACTAATTAATGATATCTGCCAGGGTGCAGGAGAGATTTTGGCATACATATGTGGTATTAGTCTCATATCTGCTGACAGCCTCTGAGATTCTAAAACAATAGTCTTTTAAATTTTTTTAATGTTCATTTTTGAGAGAGACAGACAGAGCCTGAGCCCAAAAGTGGCAGAGAGAAAGAGATACAGAATCCAAAGGAGTATCCAGGCTCTGAGCTGTCAGCACAGAGTAGGATACAGGGCTCAAACTTACAAACTGCGAGATCATGACCTGAACCAAAGTCAGACGCTTAATTGAATGAGCCATCGAGGTGCCCCTAAAACAATAGTTGTAAATCAAATGTATATGTATCAGAATCACCTAGAACTCTGACTCAATCGATCTGGATGGGTGGGTCCTGTCTTTGAGTTCTGAGAAAAACTGCCAAGGTGATTCTGATACACACCTATGTTGGAAACCGCTGTTTGAGGGATTGGAAGATGACTTATGAACTACCTTCTTTTTTTTTTTTTTTTTTTTTTAGGTTTACTTATTTATCTTGAGAGATAGCATGTGCATGTAAGCAGGGGAGAGGCAGAGAGGGAGAGAGAGAGAAACCCAAGCGGGCTCCGCACCATCAGCATGGAGCCTGACACGGGGCTCAAATTCCTTAACCTGAGCCAAAACCAAGAATTGCACACTTCACTGACTGAGTCACCCAGGTGCCCTGAACTACCTTTCTTTAATGGTTATTGACTTGTATACTTTCTGCAGGACCCACTCTGAGAACGTCATTTCAACCCTTGAGCTACTGCAGGTGGCCACAGAGAAGTACTCGTCTCAGTGATTCGGGCTGTATAACGGAAATACCACGGGCTGTGTCTTATGAACAGCTACATTTATTTCTCACAGTTCTGGAAGCTGGGCACTGGCACATTTGGTGTCTAATGAGACCGTGTCCTGACATGGTGGAAGAGGGGCGAAGAATCTCTGTGGAGCCTCTTCGAAGGGCTCCAACTAATTACCTCCTAAAGGCCCTATCTCCTGCTGGTCTCTGCTTGAAACACCCTTTCTGTCTCCTTTGAGAAGATGCTCATTCGCACCTGCTGGCAGCCACCAGGTTGTATCTGAGTCTGTTTGTGTGTTTGTTCATTTGTGTTTGAGGTTCCACATACAAGTGAAATCGTGTGCTATTTGTCTGTCTCTGACTTACTCTGTATCACAGCAAAGTGCTCCTTCTTCGCATTTAACCAAAGAACATGAACGCTGTGAGATAGGGGCCATCTTCTGACTTGTTTACACTCCTCTCCATTACAGGGCCAGGAGTAGATTTCAGGAGGCCCCTGTTGAAGGAATAGATGGCCGGCACCCTGTGTTCCCAGCACCCAGCTCAATGCTGGCTACGTGCTTCACAGCAGAAGCTTCGTAGATACGTGTGGAGTCCGTGACCTTGAATCCAGATTTGCTAACATTTTCCCAAATTTCCTTACATCCCAAGGGTTCTGAAAACCCTGATTTTCCTACAGTTTGCTCCCTAACTGGATACACAGAGTGGTAATAGGTTGGGTAGCTACACACTTGGATGGTTTCTCAAACTATCCTCTTAACAAACGATTAAGCTAATTCAGGGATCACAAACCACAGTTGTGTGACCCCGCAGGGCAGTGGTTTTCGAGGTTTGGACCCAGGACCAGCATCGTCCACGAACTTGTCAGAAATACAATTTCTCAGGTCCTTCCTAGAGTTAGGGACTTTGACACTCTGAATGTGGGGCCCGGAGATCTGATAAGCACTTTAGATGATTCTTGTGCACCGTATAGTGTGAGAACCATACCCATAGGACATTTCAAAGTATTTTCATGTTGCATATTTTTTAATATATTTCAGCTTTTTTTAATTAAAAAAGCCCTCCATACTTCTAGGGGGGGCAGACACAAAGTCAAATCGTGTCAGGATGATAAAACAGAAGGCTGGTGATACCATTAGGATAACAGTCTAACCCGTCAGCCTGCTTCAGATGTTTCTCCCTCTCTCTCTGCCCCTCCTACTCGTGCTTGCTCTCTTTCTTTTTCAATAATAAACATTAAAAAAAAAAAAAAACAGTACCAAATGGAGATACTATCCAAATTACAGGACATACTATTTGCCACTTAGGACAGAAGGGGACCAGAGTTTGAACAGCCAATTGACTAGCACTTTGAATAGCACATTGGGACGTGTGCTTCAGGAAGAAAATCCTTCCCACCCTCTCCAAAATTAACGGATGTGGAAACAGGAAAGCGCTAATACAAGTGCAGAAGTGGGCGATGGGGGCATAGTGGTATGTTGAGCCCTCTCCCGACCCTCCGAATCTGGGAGTCCCGATTGTTCTGATGGAAGTAGTCATGAGATGAAAATTCCATGTATGGATTTGGGGACGCATCTTGTTGTGACTTTAATATTTGTGAGATGGACTTCATTTTCCCCCTCTTCCAGACGTTCCTGTGACTATACCCGCTGGAATTCTGCTCTAGTGCCAGTTGTTTTTCCCTCACTCGAGAATGTCAGCAACACTAGTCAATCTCCAAAGCAGGTGATGTTATATCACACCTAACACTTACGCTTGGCCGAAACCTTAAGTCCCCAAGATGAATTACAGACTTAAGTGAAAACCGTTAGGTTCTTAACAGCACAAACATTTTCCATTACAAATACTGCTTTTTTACTCTTTCTTAATTAAAAAAAAAAAAAAAAAAAAAAAAAAAAAGCCTTGAGGGGGCTTTGGATTTCCCAGCCTTCCAGATCAAGGATTTCTTCAGCCCTCTGAATTATAGGAATGTTGAAAAACAAAAACAAATCCTTTTCCTGTTGTAAAATCCTTGCCATGTTTTTGTCTTTACGTAACTCGAAACGGCTGAACTGAAAAATGAGGTTGGTAAGTTCTGTTCAAACCTAAGAACTCATCAGAAATGGAGTAGGTAATAATTTTGAGATTGTCGTTCTAATCAATCGATCCCAAGAATGGATTTTACTAGAGTTTAACTTATTTGATGATCCTCAAAATTGATAAAGGGCACTTAGAATAAAACAACTGATGCCTAAGGATACGACAGTGTTTTTAATTGTTTGCTCAAGTGATTCAGGATCACAATTTTAATAATTTGGGCTCTGTGGTGGTGGCAGCAGCGGCCAGTATAATTTTCCTTTGATTCTCGGCACTCCCTTGGCTGCTAGGTTTCCGTTTCACAGCACAATTGCCAGAAGAGTGAACTTTGTTTCAGAATCTTCTGCGGAAAGTAGAGGCTTTTTGTAATGCAGTAGTTCAGAGCTGTGGGTTTGCTAATGCTTTTGGTATAAGGCGTAACTCTCAACCTGTATGAGAGAAACAGCTTTGAACAGGGGGTGTGTTGTAAGCTTATCAGCCATCCGGTATAGTGGGTATCGCCTGACGCTTTACTACCTGTGCACTAAGTGGTCTCAGAATTTCAGCACTTTGAAAATGAGCCCCTTTTGCTTTGGTACTAGAGAGATGTCTCTGATTCTGCTCATGCTAATCAAAACACTACAGGGCAAACTCTGCTCCTGTGCGCGGAGGTATCAGTGGCTCATGTGTCCTCTGATCTGGAGACTTGAAGCCACGTCATTCCACAGATTCCACTTCATTTCCAATTTCCTTCCATGTTACCTTAAAAAACTGTTTTTAAATAGATTTTTTAGGGGGCACCTGGGTGGCTCAGTTGGTTGAGTGGCCGGCTCCGGATTTTGGCTCAGGTCATGATCCCAGGGCTGTGGGATCGAGCCCTACACTGGGGTCCACGCTGAGTGCAGAGCCGGCTTGGGATTCTCTCTCTCCCTCTCCCTCTGCCCCACTCGCCAGCTCGCGCTCTCTGTCTAAAACAAAATAGTAAAATAATAAATGAAAAAAAAAGATTTTTTTCTAATTATTAGGAGAGAACCTTAGAGGAAAATTGGGAGCCCCCAAAAAGAAAAAAAAAACCCATAAAATAAATATAAAAGAGTTTAAATGTCCCACCATTTGAATTTCCTCATGTCAATTTATATTTTGTTGCATTTGCCTTTACATACTTGACATCACGCTGCATACAAAATTTGTACTTTTGTCTTCAAAATGACCATTTTCTCATGTTACTCTAAGTTTTGTATCATCCGTCCTAATGAATGCATGTTCTTCTCTTATGGGATGTGTGTTTTATAACTATTTGGGGACAGTCAAATTGCTTCTAGTATTTTGGTATCCTAAATAAGCTTGCAATTTACATCTTTTTTTGTTTTAAATAAACTACCCCCAAACATGGGGCTCAAACTCATGACCCCAAAGTCAAGAGCTGCATGCTCTACAAAACGAGCCAGCCATGCACCCCTGCAATTCACATCTTTATACTAAAGCTTTTCAACATTGCTGTGTTAGACAAAGACGTTAGCTTCCAAGTCACAAGCAATCAATCAGCCCTGGCTTAAGCAAAAAATGGAAACGTATTAGCTCGCATAGCTAAAAAGTCAGGGGTGGAGATGAGCTTCAGGCATGGCTCGACTCAGGGGCTCAGTGGTGTCTTCAGGAATACATCTTGCTGTTTCCTGGATCAGCCTCCGTCCGTGTCAGCTTCCTTCTCAGCCTTTGCTCCTTGACAGCCTCTGAGGGGAAAGACTGCAACTCTTTCCCAGTATTTCCATTGGGAGTCCCACAACTGAGACTCACTACCATGACTTGGGTCAAGCACCTTTCCCTGAGCCAGTCACGGGGGTCAGCGTGAAGGAATGTTCTGGTTAGCCTTCGGGACGTCCCTGCTCCCTCTTCCACCTCAGTCCCCTCCCACCCTCGCTCTGCACAGCTGGACTCCGATAGTTCTTGAAGCCACCAGCCTGACCATCAGCCGGAGGCCACTGCCTCACACACTCTTCCCTCTGTGTCCCCGGGGCTTGCTGTCCCCTCACTTCCTTCAGCCTACACTCGGGACTTCCCGGACCACCTCACCTCTGCTCTCTCTGTCCTCTCTCTGTGCCATTTCTCTTCAGAGACTAACAACTGCCTGACGTCCTGTTACATATTCAGGTGGTATATGTTTGAATTATTTGTCTCTTTCACGGGAACCACAAGGCTGTCACTGTTAGCAGCTCTACCCAGCCCTCAATAAATGTTTATCAAGTTCGGCAGGGCGCCGAGGTACCCAGCCATAGGGTCAGCTTCCGCTACTGGTAAGAGGTGCTTATGGCAGTGGTGTGATTCCTCAAGGAAAACAGGCAATCATTCCCAGATGGTGGGGAAAATGGGATGCTGGGCTGACCAAACACTGGGGCCCATGACGATTTCACATCTGTTTCGAAAGCAAAGTCCAAGAAATAGGACTTAAAAGGATATGAATGCTTTGAATTTCTTTTTTTTCTAATTTTTAAAAAATGTGTATTTATTTTGAGAGAGAGAGAAAGAGCACAAGCAAGGTAGGGACAGAGAGAGAGAGAGAGGGAGACACTGAATCTAAAACAGACTCCAGGCTCTGAGCTGTCAGCACAGAGCCCAACACGGGGCTCGAACCCAAGAACTGGGAGATCGTGACCTGAGCCAAAGTCACCTGCTTAACCCACTGAACCACCCAGGTGCCCCTTGAGTTTCTTGATGTATGCACTAGTTCCCCTACTTATAAAACAAAACAAAACAAAACAAAAACAACCTCCTCAAGGCAGACAAAATAATCTTTCTTCAATGCAGACTATGTCATGCCCTTCCCCATCTTAACATGGATAGCTCCCCAGCGTACCATGTATAACGGAAGAAGCCGGCCCTGTTCCTGGGGCCGGAATGTTCCAGTCCCAGCCTGACTCTTCTGGAGCCCCAGAACCCACCCCCTCTGACTTGGGGACCCTCATCCCTCTGCTTGCCTCCCTGCCTGACCGCCGCCTACCCTTTCAGCCTCAGGCCTCAGCTCCAGTGTCCCCTCAGCAGGCCCTTCCTTGACCACTCAGACAGGGCTCCGTGCACATGGGTGTATCTTCCTCATGCCATCAGCACACCACCTGTCACCTTATTTATTCTGTCTCCGCCTCTAGAATGTAAATTCCCTGGGGTCCTTTTCTTGCTGTTCAGGAACTCCAAATGGGCACCTGGCATGCCGAAGGCCTTCTGTGAATTTTTCTTAGGGGAAAAAAAAATGGGCACGTTGCTTGGCAAGAGGGTTACAGCAGTTAACACCCCCATCAGCAGGGAGAATGTTCATTTCGTCGCCCATCCTGTTGTGATGAAGCAGTTTTCTTAGTATCTGGCTCAAGAGATGGAATGGTTTTCAAAGGTAGTTCTCAAAATGTGTGTATTTGCTATTTTTTTTATTATTGAAGGGCTGGAATTCTGGGAGGTCCTCACTGCCTGGGTCCTGGAGAAGCCACAAGGCCTGCTCCCGTTTGAGGCCCGGCGCTCTGTCCCAGCAGGTATGTTCCAGCAGGGCCCCAGGAGGGTTCCGTTTTCCCATCTGGTGTGAGCACGGCCCGAATCTCCGTGCCCACTGTGTAACTAGAAACAAAAGACACCCTTTCGTTGCAGCGAGACTCAAGGGAACTTTCTAAACCTGTTACGGTGACTAAAAGTTAGTGAATTAATCCACTCAAGTATTTGGGACGTGGTCAGGAGTCATTTCTGTGCACCCCCATCCCAAATTAGCCAGTTGTATTGGTATTTTGATGGACAGAACCCTCTCTAGTGTGCTCATTGTTAATTTTAGAGCACATGTATTTTTCTACATGGATTTTTTAAAAAGAACTTTAAAAAAAAAGTCTTGCAAAAAGAACTGACCGATATAAAAAGCATTTAATATAGAGAACACAGAAGCACCTTTTAGCAAGTAAAAGTCCCTATGGCATATATCCAATTGCACGAGTCACATCTCTTTCCCTGCAGAGAATTTCTCTTTGAATATAAAAGTACAAACTTCACGTTCCCACCTTCTTCAGACACATCGTCCACGTCCCTCAACCCGGGGATCACCATTAATGCGACAGAGTGATGATCATGTTCTTACAAAGAAAATAGATCATCCGAAGTCTTCTGGTTTACAGACAGCACCACCGGAGGACTAGGATGTGTCTTCTGCATGCGGAGTCCCAAGGCAAGCGACGGACCACAATCCATGCGGAGTAAACGCTGAGTGGTTGATGTGATCGAGGGTGGAGAACGGACGTAAAAAACAAAAACAAAAAACGAACAAAGCCAAACAATAACTTTGGAGAATCAAAAGACACACACACACACACACACACACACGCATCCCTGCCAGAGTGTGTTCTCTGTTTTCTGCCTGTTGTATCACCAGTCAGGGACCTCGACCACGAAGGGCGTCCTCACGTCTATCTTGCCGCTGCCGACGATAGTGCAGTTGGTGAGCGGGCGGTCATGCCCGTCAGTCGGCTGCAGTTCTATGGAGTGGACCACTGTCTGGGGGAGACAAGCAGACCGTGGCGATCAGGAGGTGAAACCACTGCCCAGTCTGAAAGCCCAACTGGGAAGGGAAACCAGGGGTTTTTGGGGGGTTTTTTTGTTTTGGTTTTTTTTTTGGTTTGTTTGTCTGTTTTCCCTTGGTGTGAATACAAAACCCATGCAAGCCAACCATGGAAAACTTAACATACTCAGGAAATTTCTACATAACAGAAGAAAATCTATCCACTACCTTGCTAGTGGAAGAACGTATTTGTGTATTTCCTTCTTTTAACTAGCATTTTTTATTCTAAAAAGTAATTTGATATTTTTGTAAACCCACAGCTTTAATGAAACATGTTTCTGCCCACCTCACACCCGATGTAGGAGTTAAGCATGGAGCAGGAATCAGTTTCCACTGTACCCTGTAAATGGTCTAGGCGTCAGAAGGCAGACTGAGAAGTGGGGCTCGTTCTGGGTTTGCCTGTTTGCAAGCTGGGACGCTTCACACTGGAGGAGAAAGGGCTCGTCCAGGACCGGGGATATTGGCTTCTGACCCGCTTCCCACACAGGGTAGGGACAGAGAGGGCAACAATACGAAACACACACACGCATGCACACACAATTTTTTTTTCCTTCTAGAGAGAAGAATCTGGAGATTTTTTTTCTGGAGAGAATATACTTGTCAATCTCTCAAAGAAGTCTATGACTCAGAATGTTAAGCAGTGCTGGTCTGAGACCAAGCAGGTCTCCGGTTGCACCCCGGTGGGTGGAAAGAGTCGTGTGCAGTCAGTTAGGGCCGCAGGAAGACGGGAGAGGTCGGAAGATCTAGAAAAACCGTGACCAGAAGAAAACACAATACTTGCACTCTTCCTTCTCTCACAGGTTAGTGTGACGTATTCAAAAGTACTCATTGCGGGAATGTGTGAGCCAGTTTACTTCCAAACGGCCCACGGGTCCAAAACCCAGACTGGTTGAACACACGCACGCCCAGGTTCAGCTCACCGCCAGAGCAACGTTTCTGAAGACATTTGAGGAGCACTGGCATTCGTTACTGGGCAAGCACAGAGTCCTCTGAGGACTGCAAAGTGGTACACAAAGTGGTCCGTGGTGGCCCTTTCCCTCTAATCCCACTTGCCAGTGAGAACCTGATCTTCACCAGCTCGGGCTCAATACTTGCTTGCCCTGTAGGGGAGCTTCTCGTGGTGGGGGGTGTGGGGGATCAGCTCAATTCCTGGCTTTTCGATGGGCAGGATCAGGGATAGCGGGGAGAAGTTGGGAATCGCCAAAACTGAGCTAACGTTTGGATGGAAGACACAGAACTCACATGAGAATGAAACAAAATCAAATATGGAAGAGGGCAGGGGGGGAGGGTGGGGAGGGAGGAAGGGTCAATAATGGCCCAGGGTGGGGTGGGGCGGACTTTACAGGTGCTAGTTTAGGAGCTGGGAGAGCTTCTGTGGGCGGTGAGCTGCTAAGGAGGAGAAGTGCAGGGAGTGGAAGAGGAAAAGGATTTTAAGAAGTGTTCCTGTGGGTGACAGATTGGACCCTCCGCTATTCTTTGAGGCACACCCGCCGAAACGTGCATTCTCTCTAGTAGCTGTGCTGGCTATACTGCCTGTGTCTTCTAATGTGACTTGTTTCTGTCCTAAACCACATGGTGCTCAGGGTATTTTTTTTTTAAATAGTTTATATTTAATTGTGGTAAGAAACACGTAACATAAAATGTACCATCTTAGCTGTCCCTGTAGTGCGGTGGGTCTTAGGTACGTTCATACTGTGCAGCTGCTGGGCAGAACTTCTGCATCGTGTGACTGAAACTCTATTCCCACTGAACACCAGCTCCCCTTTCTTCCTCGCCACCAGCCCCTGGCAACCCCTGTTCTCCTCCACGTTTCCACGGATGTGACCACTTTAGATACTTATAGAAACAGAATCATCCCGTCTTTTGGGGACTGGCTTATTTTACTTCACAGGCTCAGGGTTCATACACGTTGTACCATGTGACAGGATTTCCTTCCTTTTCAGGGCAGAGCATTATTCTACTGTACACACACAGGGGGCCCGAGTTTTATTTGGTTACATTAAAAAAGTTTTCATTTATATCAAGTAGTAACATAAATTAAGTACCCAGCTCTTGCCTCAGTGCTCCTAACAATTAAAACACCACACTATGGGGTGCCTGGCTGGCTATGTTGGTTGACTTTCCGGCTATCTTGTGGTTCATGGGTTCCAGCCCCACATCGGGTTCTCTGCTGACAGCTCAGAGCCTGGAGCCTGCTTCAGATTCTGTGTCTCCCTCTGTCTCTGCCCCTTCCCAACTCGTGCCCTGTCTCTCTCTCTCTCTCTCTCTCAAAAATAAAGATTAAAAAAATAAATTAATTAAATAAAATAAAATTCCACAGCTTATTCCCCTCTGAAGAAGCCAGTCATCATATAAGATGAACCTCTAACAAGCACATTTTAAGATGAAAATAAATCACTGAAAGCCCTCTCACTAAAACTATAAGGCTTTGAATGAGAAATAATAACATATCAAGTTACCATTCCATCAAGGACTTTTCCAAATACCACGTGTTTGCCATCCAACCAGGCGGGCTTGGTCAAGGTGATGAAGAACTGAGAGCCATTGGTATCGGGCCCTGCGTTGGCCATGCTGACCCACCCAATGCCATAATGCTTCAGTTTGAAGTTCTCATCTGGAAATGTCTCACCATAAATGCTTATACCTATGTGAGACAAAGTGGGAAAAAAAAGAGAAGCACCAGGCGTTATATGCAAGTAAATTCCTCAAAGGGAGACATAAGGGTTTAACAGAATTGGTTAACAGAACCCTACGGAGTTGGGGACGGGGAAAAGATGATGAAATGAGGAAAAAGAAAGGAGGTGATAAAATTGGATTCCTCTGGGAAGCGGGGCGCCACTCAGATGGACACAAAAGCCTTGAGACGGCAGTGCCCTCAGGTCTCCAAGTAAGGCCCCCCAACTGTGACCAAGCCAGTCAGTCATTTCCCTCTGAACTAAGGAAGTGAAGGGCAGGACGACATCGCAGGGCCCCACGGAAGGTGCATGAGCCATCGTCCTGGCTCGGTCTCCGTCCGGAGCCTCAAGTCACTGGTCCCGGGTCACGCGTACCTCCGCACCCACCCACGGTGCCGTTAGCACCCAACACCCTCAGCTCACGCTCACATCCCTGCAGAACTGGGGTTCTCAATCCCACCGTGAGTGAGGCAGCAGAGGCTCCACAGTCTGAAAACTGCGCGGCAGAACTGGGAAGTCACATGACCTTCTGTCACTAGAGCTGCTGCTCCATCCTGCATCAGCGCTCCCAGCAAGGAGGCCCCTGGGCGCCACAACCTCCGGGCTCATCAGGAGACAGAGGGTGATGGCAACCGGAGCACCGGGCTATCCGGCCCCTGAAGGGAAGACCCAGACCCAGACCCAGGCGTGTGGCCTGGAGTTCTCGCGAAGCCCCAAGGAGAGTGGAGCATGTTCCCTCCCCCCCCCCCACCCCACAAGAGCGGCAGAGACCCTGGGTAGTGGCTGCTCTCTCCTCCCACACCTTGAATGCCTGACGTGCCCACCGCCTCCTCCTCCCCCTGCTGCCGGGCTCCTTATCCCTCGCTCGCCAACTTTAACGCCCTGGCTCAGTTAGAGGGACTCGGTCCAAGGCCGGCGATTCACAGCTGACTGGTCAGTGACAGATGAGGTGGCCTGGCGGAAAGCTCTGCTCACAGGTCTAGACTCAATTTAAAGGATCCAAAAGGTCCTCCCTCCTAACCTCAGAGAACTTTGAGACGTGTGTGCACATTTGCACATGTGCACGCACACGCACACACACACACGGCAGGGTAGGCAGAGAGAGGGAGAGACAAAAGCAGGCAAGCAGCCAAAGGAGAGCTCAGTCACGGTTCCTGCCTGGCCACAGGGCAGGACCCTGGATGCCAGTCTCAAGGTCGGCTCAGCAGCAGCAGCAGCAGCAGGCGGGCCCCCTTCCCCGGGCATCCTCCCCAGCCCCACTGACCCCAGCCACCCGAACGCGTTTCTCTATCCCACTCCACGTTCCCATACCCCTGCGGCATTTGTGCAGGGAGTGACAGTAACTCTCCGGAAGGACCTGGCAAATCCAAGGGCTTAATGGTCGCCATTTTGGTGCAGATAAACCACTGTGATACCCGTAGAGTTAGCAACAGTGCTTGCACACGGCCCAAGTGCCTCTGTAAAAAGTTAGCAGTCTAATGCCCATCAAAGCACGTTATTTGCTGAATTCAAAATCTTCAGCCTGAAGGAAACTGAAATCCTGGTGTAGCTGCATGTACGGTGGGTGTCCAGAAGAACTCCCTGTGGTCCCGAGGGAAGGCAGTGCAGGGAGCTGGGTACCCGCGATCCCCAGTGAAGAAGGACAACCTCCGGGATATGTAGCATTGTGTACATTTAATCATTTGTGCTTCACAGGGCTCTACCTTTGTTTGTAAGAGTGTGTATTATAATTTTGACAGTTCTATTTTTATTATTAGTGTTCCTGCAAAAGCTGATGATAAAATGAAAGAATTTTGTAAGAAAGGGGTAAATCCATCTGTAATCCTGCCACCTAAATTCGAGCCTCGCGCTCCCAGTGCGGTGCCCCCCTTCCCCCGTTCTCCTCTCCCGCACCCCTGCCTGTGGCCAGCTGCTGCCCCACCACCGTTCACACGGTGTTACATTCAACCTTTCCTTCCTGTGCCAGACGGCCTTCTGCACTGCTGCATATGGGGAGGCTAGCATTTTACTATCTGCACAGTGGCCTGCCGGATGAGCATATCTGCACTGTGGAAAGCTAATGACCACCAAAGCAATATTGTTTAAAATTAGGAAGCCTCCAGGTCATGATCTCGCAGATTAGGAGCTCAAGCTCCACATCAGGCTTGGCGCCGACAGTGCAGAGCCTGCTTGGGATTCTCTCTCCCTCTCTCTCAGCCCCTCCCCTGCTTGTGCTCTCCCTCTCTCTCTCTCACACAATAACTAAAAAAAATAAATAAAACTAGGAAGACTCACTCATTCACACATATGACTAGATTTTGGCAGATGAGCCCTCCCCCGCCCCAAACCCCGTCCTCCTGAAGAATTAGTTTGGTGCTCTTGACGAATTTGTTCCTTAAGCCTGGGAATTCACTTGATGGGGGTGGATACGCTGACCCGACCTGAGGTGTGAGTCTGGTGAGCAGAAGAGGAAGAACACAAAAGACAATGTTACCGCCGGTGCCGTCCCCATGGGTGATGTCTCCTCCTTGAATCATGAAATCTTTGATGACGCGATGAAATGTGCTTCCTTTAAATCCGTATCCTTTCTAAAGAGATTATGTCAATTGAATATATGAGTAGATTTAACCCGTACTGAAAGATAAGCCCCAGCGTTTATCTCAAAATGACACAATGAGAAAATGACACAAACTGTCTGCAGAACCTGATGAGGACCCTGCAATGATGTCCTCCTAGAAACGTTCCCATTGGCAGACCCAAAATAAAGGACTCAACTGTGGAAGTATTAATGTGAATGAGTAAAAAGAGAGCAATCTACGCTTTCATATGATGCAGTTGCCCTCAATTTCTAGAAGCCTAAGGACACTGTGTGCTCAAAGAGTAAACTTTCATACAATAATGAAGTAAAACATGGTAAGACGTCTCAGGTTCATTGGACCTGCCAATCCAACACTTATTTTCCCTCTTTCCCTGTTTACGCTGGGCGTAAAAGAAAGAAGATCCCATTTTGTGCACAGGTAAGGGACCCACACCTGAGACCTACCTCGCCTGTGGCCAGAGCGACAAAATTTTCCACAGTCTTGGGCACAACCTTTCCAAAGAGGCCGATCACAATCCTGCCAACATCTTTGTCTCCGATCCTCACATCGAGGAAGACCTGCATGTGGTTGAGCGGCAGAGCACAGGTACAAGGTGAGGGAAGGTTAAAATCTGAGACTGCATCTCTAGGTGAAAGCCCCGCCCCGCCCCCTGCAGTTTATAAGCTAGCTCTAAAACCGTAGTGTGGGGGCATGGCACCCCCCAAATGTTCGTCCCACAAACACTTAGCACCGGCAGGCCAGGCGCTGCGCTTCGTGCTGGGCCTGAAGATGGAGTTGGCCAATGAGGCCGCCGAGGAAACTCCGCGCCCCCTGCGCACCCCAGACAGCCAGGCGGCCACCTCCCATTTCCCAGCTCCGCGCTCTTCTGAGAGGGTGACGCTCTTAATCTTGGCAGGGGAGGAAAACTGGTGAGGAGAGAAATGGTCTAACCATCCAGATTTCTTTCTGTGTGACTTCGAACAGGGCCTGATTCCCGGTGAGTCCTCACAAACATGTGCTGTCAAGGGACTGTGAGACGTCAACACGCACGGCAAGTTCTCCGAAAGGCCTGCCACTGCCTGCGAGCCCTGTGCGGCTCCAGGTCCCCAGCCTCGGCCACTGTCCCCTCCCCCAACAAAACTCTGCGCACTCTGCCACAGAACTCAGTGGTCAAGCTCTCGAAATCGGGTTGGGGAGACCGCATTTTTTCTCTCTCTGTCACCACATTTTAGAGCAGATGAAAGAAAACACACACCCACAAGTGAGTGTGAGTCACTTTTTGTGCGGATAAACCTTAAAAAGTTCTTAAACTATTTTTTTTACTGTTTTTAAAAATGTTTTATTCATTTCTGAGAGAGAGAGAGAGAGACAGAGAGAGCGCGCGCACAGGGGAGGGGCAGAGAGAGAGGGAGACACAGAATCTGAAACAGGCTCCAGGCTCTGAGCTGCCAGCACAGAGCCCGACGCGGGGCTCTAACCCACGAACCGGAAGATCATGACCTGAGCTGAAGTCGGACGCTTAACTGACTGAGCCACCCAGGCGCCCCTTAAACTATTTTTTTAAAAAGCTGTTCCATCCGAGGGGCCCCTGGGTGGCTCAGTCAGTTCGGTGACCAACTTCGGCTCAGGTCATGATCTTGCGGTTCATGGGTTCGGGCCCCGACTCGGGCTCTGTGCTGACAGCTCAGAGCCTGGAGCCTGCTTCAGATTCCGTGTCTCCTCTCTCTCTGCCCCTCCCCCACTAGCACTCTGCCTCTCTCTCTCTCAAAAATGAGTAACTATTTTTTTAATTAGAAAAAAAAAAAAAAAAGACCTGTCCAAAACAAAATCACCCACGTTTTGCTTCACAAATCCCCATGTTCCGAGGATTCGGGACGGTATGGTTGAAAAGGCTACCGAGTCGAAGGGCATTCTATTAGCAGGTTTAGATTATAGGAACCAATTTACGGTTTGAATGCTTTTGTAAAAAAGACATTCAAGAGAGGCTTCAAAAAAATATAAGAAGGGCTGTCAGAGGAAAAAGATGTCTCACAGTTTAGAAAAATCATAAAGTAAAGACTGTCAAGCGCTGGTTTAAGACAAGAGCTTCTGCCGATACATCAGCACGTCTGTCACGGGCTGACGTGATATTTAGTGTTCCGTGTGGCATTTCAGAGTTTTTACATGGCCACGGCCGCCCAAACCGTGCTAGGGTCTACACCGCACGACTGTGCACTTGACCCCGGCACGCCCCACGCGGCGCCCCACGCGGCTCGGGCGCAGGAGGCCGCGCTGACCGCACGAGCCTGGGCGTGCCCCGCCCACGTCACGGAGAAGCCACTTCCGGGGACGCCAGGGCCGGGCAGGAATGAGCCAGAACCCGGGACAGAGTCTTCTAGAAACAGCGCGCAAGACACCAGGAAAGCCCGACTTCCAATGAAGGAGAGAAAACACAGCCGGGAAAGCGGCGATGGCACCGAGAAGAAAACGTGGCAGCGCAGCGGCAGCCCCCGGCCCAACTCGTCAGTAAAGAAATCCGACTTGCCTACGCGCGGCCCCGCACACCGGCTGCCATGTTTTTGATCCCCCAAACTGCACTTTCAACTTCCTGACTGACAGCACGAAAATGTAGCCGAGTTTTCCTGACTCCAGTGGAAACGATCAAGTCACACACATCTTACTCGGGCAATGGGTACATGGTTATCTCCAGGCCTGGGGGCGGGGTGGGGTGAGGGCTGAGGGCAGGCATCCTGGGAAAGGTGTGACGGGAAGCGGGGGGGCGGGGTTAAGAACGAGCATGAGCCCCACATGGCAGTCTCTGTGCATAGAAGCAACAGCGAGAGGGTCTCACCTGTTCCAGAAGGTGGGGGAAGGCTGCCGGATCCGGGTTTTGTAGGATTTGTTAGGCCTTAGAGAGAAGGGAAAGAACAGGACCCAGGGAAGGCCTGGGGGATATTATTCAAGCTGCGGGGAGGAGAATCTGGGGGCTCTTAGACGAGGGAGAAGGAGGGGGAGGGGAAGGAGAGGGGATGGGGGAGGAGGGGGATGGGGGAGGGGGAGGGGATTAAGAGGGGGAAGAAGCGAAGCAGAGGAGGAGGGGAGGGGGAGAATGAGGGGGAGACAGGAGAAGAGTAGAGGGGGAGGAGAGGGAAGAGCAAGAGGAGAAGGGGAACGAGGGGTAGGAGAGAGGAAGGGGAGGAAGAGGGAGAGGAAGGGGGTAGGAGAAGGGGGGCGAGGAGGAGAGGG